TCTCACCTCTCACACCTCTCACATCTCACACCTCTCACATCTCTCACCTCTCACATCTCTCACACCTCTCACACCTCTCATTATCTCACACCTCTCACACCTCTCACACCCCTCACACCTCTCACATCTCACACCTCTCACCTCTCACATCTCACACCTCTCACCTCTCACACCTCTCATTATCTCACACCTCTCAACTCTCACACCTCTCACATCTCACACCTCTCACACCTCATTATCTCACACCTCTCACACATCTCACACCTCTCACACCTCTCATTATCTCACACATCTCACATCTCACACCTCTCACACCTCTGACACCTCTCACACATCTCTGACACCTCTCACACCTCACACCTCTCACATCTCACCTCTCACACCTCTCACACCTCTCATTATCTGACACCTCTCACTCCTCTCACTCCTCTCACTCCTCTCACACCTCTCACCTCTCACACCTCTCACCTCTCACACCTCTCACATCTCACACCTCTCACATCTCTCACCTCTCACATCTCTCACACCTCTCACACCTCTCATTATCTCACACCTCTCACACCTCTCACACCTCACCCCTCTCCCTGTGGCTGCTTGGATCTCACCACATTCCCCTGCCGAGTGTCTCCCAGGGCCAGATAAACTTGGTTCCTGCACCTCCCCCTTCTTTATTTTGGGGCACTTAAAGTTAGAGCTGTTTGGACTTGTACCACCAAGGCCTTTTGTGTCACAGATCCCAATAAATCTGCAATGACCTGGTAGCATTTGTCTGTTTTGCTGACCAATTTATTATCCTGATTTATTTAATGTGGCTGAAGCCTCTGCAGCTGCCACTCCGGGTGCTGGGGAAGAGGCAGCAGTTCCTGTCCCTGATCCCAAAATTCTGTGTTATCCCCTGGTGTCTGTCCAGCTGATGAGAAGGAAGAAACCTCAGGAGCAGCTGACTGAGGGTGAGAAAAGGAAAGGGTTTAATTTGTGCCCAGGCATAGATGTTATGTTACTTTTTATAATCCCATCTGTCCAATCCCAAGTGTTTCCACCCCGTAGCCTTTGCTCTGGTCCTCCCACACTTAATGCAATTAACACAATTAAATTTAACGCAGTTTAATAAAGTTGAAATTTAACAAAACGGGATAAAATCCAAATTTCAGTTGGCATAACTCACATTTAATGCCACTGCACACCATTTAATACAATTGAAATTTAAACAAATGCAGCTTAATGCAAGCAAATATTATTATACAACAATATATATTATTATATATTA